CGACTTAGGTCCATAGATTCCAGCACCGGCTCCTTCCTTGGTTTTTGAACCGTCTGTGTACCAGACGAGTTCAGCCTGTATAGGAGGTCCCTGTTTCCAGGATTCTCGGGCTGGTATTTGAGTTTGAAAATTTCTTTCAAATTTGTATGTGGTTATGGCTCTATCAGTAGGCATAGCTAGAATATTATCCCTTTGTACTTGCTGATATAGCCTTGTGTGGCCGGCGCTATGTAGTTGGCTTATTTGGTTTTGTCCCTGCATTAGCCTGTGAATAGCTGACCTGGTTTCTCCTTGTATGAAGATGTGCAATGGCGTGAGATTTAGTAATACCTCCATTGCTGCGGTCGGCGTAGTGCGCATGGCCCCAGTAGCACTTAGACAGGCAAGCCGCTGAATGCTAGTGAGTTGGCCTATTGCACTTGCCTGCGCAGTTTTGGTTACCCACGCCACTGCGCCATAGGTTATCATGGGTCTTATTACCCTTGTGTATAACCATATGGTCAATGTAACAACTTACTTTCGTCACTAGAGACGAAAGTAAACGTTATGGGTTTTTTTTTTCTCACTAGTGACGGAAATCAAGTTTTTGCTGGAAGTATCCTGTGGCGAAAGATGTCTTTTTGTAAGAGTTCGTAGAAAAAATGCTTTCTCCACCTGCATGTACAATCACAAGTCTCTTTCCTTTTGAGATTGGCTTCTTCAAACGTTTTCCTGATACCATCCCTTAGATTGCACATGAGAGCTGTAGATGTATGTTTTAAGAAAGTAATTCTTTTGAGGCGAATATCATAGGATTCCATAATCATCTTACTGTTATTTTGTGTTATCTACAAGTAAGGCATTATTTTTAATTAAATACTTATGCATTAAACTTATTAATATTTTTTATCACAATGTCTCTTCTAGTCCTATATTATTTTTTTTCTTCTAAAATGCCTACCAAAATACATTTAAAAAAACCAATATACCTTATAATTTTTAGCAGAAATTCAGGTAGAACAGTTTGTAGTTTGTTAAGAATATCTAGAAAAATATATATTTCTTAATAAAAAAATTATTAAAAATCATTCGAGCCTAAAAAATGTTTTCCGGTTAAAAGTGAACTGACAGACGTTTTTTGTAAATAAGTTTGATATCTGTCAATAGTACAATATAAAAAACCTGATTTTAGACACTTAATACAAAAATAACTATATTATTTTTATCAAACTTACATTCCAGACCAAGGGCCCTTTTCTCCAGGATGTAAAAGTCATAAACAAACTCCCGAATCCTTTCCAGTTCTCCAAGTTTTAGTGCTTCGAGTACTGATTTTTTTCCGAGTCTCTTTTTTCGAGGAAATACAAAGGAAGTTGAAGCTTTTCTTTCAATAGCTAAGGCTTGCTTTTTAATTCTGATATAAGTACTTTTACTCGCACCAGTTGCTTTCAGAGATCGCTTTCTGCAATTTAAAAATATAGGTATTAAAAATTAGCAATATTTACAATGTTTGGTTGTGGAAATACTCCTAGTCCCTAAACAAGTTAGTTACTAACGGATACAATGTCCCGTTTGAAATAAAATTATGGCTAAAAACAAATTAGATCACATTTCAATAAAATGATGTATAGGTAGTAATAAATCTGTATTTTATATAAAATATAATATAAAAGTGGCGACATTTTTTATAATATGCCGATCTTGACTATGGATAATTTTTTCTTTTAAATCAACAAGTGTTTTAGGAGACATGGTTTTAGAATAAATAAAACAAACAACACTCATTTATAAACGTCTTTAACTAGTTAAAAATCTAAAAATATTTAACAAATAAAAGATTCCAAAAACACAACCTCAAATGTCAAACAAATAAATAAATAGCTATTGGTATAAAAATTTTGGTTCTACGCCAGTGGCGTGACCCTGTCGTTACTAAGCCACGTAGGTAAACAACACATAATTTGGTTTCTTCGACTGTTATTGTCGCAACTTCACATGACTTCTTCTCTCGTGGAAGGATTCTACTGAAGCTCTAGGATTATTGTATCTCTTACAGTTTCTACCCCATCAGGTTAATTATCTTGATGAATTTAAGAATATATGTTTGGTAGGTAGCCCAATCGGATTAGTATGTTAGATTCTGAAAAATTCGAAGCAGCAATTTTCCTTCGGAATTCGTTGGAGGGGGTCTCTGGTAGTCTAAATTCAAAAAGTTGGGATTCCAAAGTTGTCGTTACTTCCGCCATCTTGATTTAAAGGGTTATTTTTTGTATCTTGAATAACTCATTTATTTTCAATTTTACACGGAAAATAGTTTTTACAAAAGTTATTTAAAATTAAATTTCCTACAATTCTGCTTTTTTTTTGTACGATCGATTTTTTTCGATTTATACCCGAAAAGAGGGGGTGAATTTTTGGTTATAGAATAACTCGTTTATTTTCAATTTTACGAGAAAAATTGTTATAAACAAAGTTGTTTAAAATTAAATTTCCTACAATTCTGCTTTTTTTGTACGATCGATTTTTTTCGATTTCTACCCGAAAAGAGGGGGTGAATTTTTGGTTATAGAATAACTCGTTTATTTTCAATTTTACGAAAAAAATTGTTATAAACAAAGTTGTTTAAAATTAAATTTCCTACAATTCTGCTTTTTTTTTGTACGATCGATTTTTTTCGATTTATACCCGAAAAGAGGGGGTGAATTTTTGGTTATAGAATAACTCGTTTATTTTTAATTTTACGAGAAAAATTGTTATAAACAAAGTTGTTTAAAATTAAATTTCCTACAATTCTGTTTTTTTTTTACGATCGATTTTTTTGTATTTATCCCTGAGAAGAGTGGGGGTGAACCTAAGTATTGTATTGTCACGTTTATTATTGATGTTGTACCATTATTTTTTCTGTTTGTTTTTTTTTGCTGATTTTCAAAAATGTTATTTGGTACAATTATGATTCCGATTTTTTCTAAGAGTTTACCCCCACTCTTCTCAGGGATAAATACAAAAAAATCGAGCGTACAAAAAAAAACAAAATTGTAGGAAATTTAATCTTAAACAACTTTGTTTATAACAATTTTTCTCGTAAAATTGAAAATAAACGAGTTATTCTATAACCAAAAATTCACCCCCTCTTTTCGGGTATAAATCGAAAAAAATCGATCGTACAAAAAAAAGCAGAATTGTAGGAAATTTAATTATAAATAACTTTTGTAAAAACTATTTTCCGTGTAAAATTGAAAATAAATGAGTTATTCAAGATAAAAAATATAACCCTTTAAATCAAGCTGGCGGAGGTAACGACAACTTTGGAATCCCAACTTTTTGAATTTAGACTACCACAGACCCCCTCCAACGAATTCCGAAGGAAAATTGCTGCTTCGAATTTTTCAGAATCTCAAGCCTGTTCTTCACCTAATCCGATTGGGCTAAGGCGCTTTTGCGATTTCTTCAGGTTCCCGAAGTATCAGTCCCGTTCCCATTTAAGGTTCCGGCAATGGCATAGTATGTAAATCGGTGTTTCGTCCTCCTCTTCACATATTCTACATGGAGAATCATCAAATGACCCTAGGAGATTTAGGTGTTTTTTAAGGCTACAGTGTCTTGTATCAAAACTTAACAAATCACTTTAGTTTTGTTTTTTATCGTCCCAAAGTGTTCTACTATTTTTTTGTCAAAATTGTGGATGCCTATTTACCTATAAGTAATGGTTTATAATTCGTTAAAATACATATCTATTTGCCTTAAAATTATCCTTATATATGAACCTTTTAAATTTTTGTCTGCCTGAAGAAGTTCAAAATTGAGAGTAGACCTTTCCAAAGATTTAATACCGAACAATCCTAAATATAAAAATATAGTTTTCATGCATTTCTTTTTAGAACACAAAAATTTCCAACGTTGTATCATATATTTTTTGTCAATGAAAAGAAACTACGACGTCGTAGAGATTTTTCTTATTTCTAAAGCAAACCGTGGGCTTTACAATATATAAGTGTGAATAACATAAGCCTTCGTAAAGCATGTTCTTAAGATACAAAAGGACAAAAGGATGAAGAACTCTCTTATATCCTTTTTACTTGTCACCAACATAAAGGTATAAAATTTTGAAATAAATTATTATTTATATGTTATTCCTTGAAAATGTACGTGTACATTTTGATAATACAATAAATACAATTTATATTTTGGTATAGAAAAATAGTTTTTATTAGAATCAAATTAAATGAGGATAGATATTTATAATTATACAAAGCTGTGCATATGGATAAATTTATGACCTAGGTGTGAGTCCCAAACTATTCAGAAACCGTCCTTACCTAAGTATTATAGTATTAGTATCTAATTTTATCGTGTACATGTAGATGATGGAATTCGTATATTTCTTCTAATAGGTTTATTTTTATTATTACTCTATTACTCTTATATTACTCTAAAGTATAAGGTAGGTAAGTAAGTAACAATAAGAAAATTTAACAACAGAATAATGTTACCCATTAAATATATTTTTAATCAAAATTAAAATTAATAAAATGTCTGCTTAACTTATAGTAAGCCTGTCGTATTATATAGGTAAGCCAAAAACTAACTTTTGCGAAGGAGATATTTTATAATAGTGCCAGTGTTATTGTATTTTTTTGGCTAGTCGCAAACCTTATTGTAATCCCCACCAATACTTAATGGATTGGATTTTACAGTTGAAAATAAGAAAATGTCTGCATTTGTTTGCAGTAATGCTACCTCTAGCATCCCTGATGAAACGAAAATCTAATTGACATAAATTTGTTGAGAAATCGGATGCTCAGTTCCGTCCAATTACTAAAAATACCAGAGGGAAAGTAATCAACTTTTGATCATAATAAATTATGCATTAAAACTTTCCAAGAAAAGAGCACGATTTGGCCCTCAGCTTATCACTTATCACTTCCACTTAATTAAGCTTTATTTACCGGATCCAATTTAATTTTCTCTTCCCTGGCTATTATTATACCTTAAATTTTGCTTACGATGTTTCTTTTTTCCAGACCGGCATGCCCAAGTTCGTTGTTTCACACGTGGGAAACTCTTCTCCAGGAAGTCGAGATCGATTCTCAAGCACTTGGAGATATCGCTTCGATCCTTGGAAGGCAGGTGTCGAGGCCACTATTAGAGAGGTCCTTTCATAGGAAGATACAATCGCGGAAGGTGTTTACACATAGAGAAAGTTACGAAACAATAATTGCGAAAACTGAGGAGAAATTAGCTAAGGTAAAGTAATTCATTTTTTTTTTTTTTTTTTTTTTTTTTTTTTTTTTTTTTTTTTTTATTTATTGTTTCGGCCTTTACTTGATGAAAATCCATTTAATTTTGAAAGAGTAAAACCAAATTTGGTAGATTTTCACACTTTTATTTTAAAAATAAAAATTTTTAAACAAACACTAACATGACATATGTTTCGAAGTACAATTTGAAAAAGAAGTTGTACTTCGAAACATATGTCATGTTAGTGTTTGTTTAAAAATTTTTATTTTTAAAATAAAAGTGTGAAAATCTACCAAATTTGGTTTTACTCTTTCAAAAATAAAGTAATTCAGTTTTTTTATTTGAAAATACATATAAAATAAACCATTTATAATATTAATGTGACAGACATTTCGTCACTATATTGTTTTTTTTAAGTATTGAAAAACACATAGATTTAAAAAAAAAGCTTGTAAAATGTTTGATAAATGATAACTACTTATTAAAGATTATATTTTGGAGGATTTTCCTAATTAGTTTGTTGATTACTGTCATCAACAGATCTATCACAACTACATTCGAACATAATCCATCTATAAAATCAAAATGTTTAAAATGTCCTTTTTACTTTTAATTACGTGCCTTATCAGTGCCGTGCATTGAAGATACACTATCTCGAATCTATTCAAAAAACGATGCATCAGCAAGACAACAAAAACAAAAGACATACTGGAAGTCGTTGGATAAAGAAAATCAATACCTTCTGCTACCCGAATATTTAATTGACTACTTCTATAAACTCAAACAAATAATGATTGAGAGTGAAAGCAGGTAGAAATACGACCAAATCGGAGGCGTGCTTATTATTTTTGAGAGGGTACAATTATTTAAAATATTCATACAATTTCTTTTATTTATTTCATGAAAACTTTGCAATATCGTAATTTACCTAATCGTTGTAGTCATTAGTGGGGCTTTATGAAAACGGAGTAATAATTGTGGTAATTATAGTAGGAACCAAATAAATTAAGAATATTAATAAAAATCACAATTGATACAAATTGATACAATAATAATAATTAAATAAATAAACATTTGTATCCTGCTGAGACATTGTTCATGTCTGTGTACAGGAATTAAAAATACAAATTTATATAATAATTTCTAAATGGTAATAGTGAATGGTAAAAATAAAAATTATACCTAAATATATAGACTTCTTTTTGTGTACAAATTTTCTTCTAATCTTCAACCTCAGATTCGTCACTGCTGCTACCGCTATCATCAAAGTTAATTATGATTGGTTCAATATTGTGTTCAATACGGTTGTCTACGTCCCACATTTTTTGCTCTTCTTTTAAAACATGCTGAATGCATTTCTTCCAGTCTTCTGCAGAAACATTTTGAATGGCTTCTTGTAGGTAACGTTGCACGTCCACTAATTTAAATGTTCTGTTTTCTCGTGCCACATATCCTTTTACTTGCGCTCAGATTAATTCTATTGGGTTTAATTCGCAGTGGTACGGTGGTAACCTTAATACTGTAATTCCACGACTTAACGCCATTTCATCCACTGAGAATTTTTTATATTTGTCTCTGTGTAATTTTGTTAACTGAAGTAGTTCTGCCTTTAAACTATCTTTTTTATATTGGATGTTTTTATTAATTAACCATTCTTGAATTGCTCGTTTTTTCCATGATTGTTTCGGTAATGATTCTAAATACCGACTATGATATGGGGCATTGTCCATGACGACGACAGACCCAGTTTCCACAAGTTGAATGATGCCTTCAAACCATTTTTCAAACACCTCCGCATTCATCTCTTCATGATAGTCGCATGTTTTCTTGGATTTAAATATTAATTCACCATTTGATAAAAATCCACTGTCGCTTCCTATATGCGTAACTATCAGACGACTACCTTTTCCAGACGGTTGTTTTAACCCAGTTGACAAGCCTTCAATAAAGGCACTTGTTATATGACCATCCTGCCATATTTTTTTGACCGTATGTCCTTGGTTAACCCACGTCTCATCCATGTAGTAAATTTTTTTTTTGATATTCCGAAATTCCTCAATTTTTCGGAGATAATTTCTTCTCCATACTATTATTTCCTGACGTTCAATGAGAATGCTTTTCCTGTCGACTTTTCCGTACGTAAATTTCATTTCGTGTAAAATTTTCCTCAAAGTTTCTTTACTCATTTGTGGGACCAATTCATGATCGCTAACTGCCTCCAGAACTTTTTGCAAAGTGGGCAGCTCATTTCTGAAAAAGAAACTGTGAATAGTTGTGCGTATACTGTTTTTGGCTTCTTCATCAACTGTGATTTTTTTTCTTCCGCTACTAGTTTTTGGCGTTTGTACTTCCCCATGAATTTTGTTTTCTCTTAGTATTTTGTAAACTGATGATTTTGGTACACCCGTATAATCAGAGCATATATCAACTAATTTATCTTTTGTAATTGTGGAAGTTAATGATGTTGGAACGCCCGGTTGGTTATTCGGAGGTACATCCGTAGAATTACAGCACATATGCACTAAGTTATCTTTTGGTCGCTGATGATCTCTTTCAAGACAGTGAAATACTCGAAGTACAATTTGTTTTTCACTTAGCAACCGAGACTTCGACCGTTTTATCTTTTTCGACGTTGAAGGCCCTTCAATGTCTTCCATTTTTTGCATAGTTTTAGAACGGTGTAGAAATATTATTATTTAATGTTTAAACACTTATTAGCACTAATATTTTCACCAATTGTTCTTACAACACGTCGATTACTTACTAACTTAACTGTAAAACTTACAATTCACACCGTATAATTCAAAACCCGATGTTACGCTCGTGGTTAGAAATACACTACTGAGAACGTCATCGACGAGATGGATTTTACGCGTAACAGACAAAGACACAAATATCGCTCCGTACACCGATGCCATTAGTTGTAACAAATACTGAACAATCCATAAAATAATTAATTTTAAATGATCAAGAAATGTATAAGTATTACTCATTACTGATTTTTGTTATAATTAATATCTTTTATTAGTACTATGATTGTATATTATTTATAATTTGCCACAACTTACAACTCTACTACTTACTCTATTTTGATTCTGCTAAAAACTAGTAAGGTAAAATTGAGATATGACAACACGGTTCACTCTCAATCATTATTTGTTTGAGTTATACATTCGAACATAATCCATCTATAAAATAAAAATGTTTAAAATGTCCTTTTTACTTTTAATTACGTGCCTTATCAGTGCCGTGCATTGAAGATACACTATTTCGAATCTATTCAAAAAACGATGCATCAGCAAGACAACAAAAACAAAAGACATACTGGAAGCCGTTGGATAAAGAAAATCAATACCTTCTGCTACCCGAATATTTAATTGACTACTTCTAATTGGAATTTTTTCAAAAGCTTTGCGTTTTTCCGAGACTTCAGATTCTTAATGGATATTCAGAACTGATTCGTTCCATGAATTTTAAATGATGACCTATAATCTGTTTTGCTTAACGAAAAGGGAAAAAAAATAATTTATTATTTATTTGTATTAGAATTTAGAAGCAATTTCATAAGTTTTTTTTTATAAACAAAGTTCATTACTAACTAGTCACTTACCACTAAATTAAATATCTAAAACATTTTTTCTTAAAATATTAATAAATAGGTAGTTATAGGAAATTAGCGCTAAAAAATGTAATGATATGATATTCAATTAATAATATTAACAGCTGGTTGCAAGAATGACTGTTAAAATCTTTTATTACCTAATGAACCCATAACTTTATAACTAATTAAATTATTTCCTAAATGGTAAATTTTGCAACGTCACCTTTCCAAATGACAGTAATAAGTAAAGTATGACAATTATCGACTCACGTCCCTATCAAGAATTATCTCTGTCTTTGTTAGATCCACTTAAAAGAACACAAACGATATGGTTTTGCAATGAGCACTTAGTCATAAGGAACGTCGCTTCACGTTAAGGTGATTACAGCACCCCCTTATAATTTTCGGACAAGGATATCTCAAAAAGTCATTTTTTTAGAAAATTTAAATTTGGGCAAAATAAATTAGGCAATCATATCTAGAATATGCATATTTTTTAAAGTTTTAATTCTTTCCAGTTTCCGAGAAAAAAAATCAAAGGGCTTTAAATTTTGAAATATCATAATGAAAATATATGCATTCCTCAATAGCAGTATTCCTAATATAATCCCCAAATTTAAGCTCTTAATCTCTTGTTAATGATTTTTTAAAATTCGCCGAAATTAGTGGCTAAAACGCCTCGTTAAGTACTTCTTTCTAGTGTAACGCGTCTGTAACTATCGTATCGTACACTCTGAGTCATCATTCGTTTCTTGCAACGATTTACACCAGTTTACACCAGTTTAAACCAGAAAATAGAACTTAACAAGGCGAATTTTAAAAAATCATTAACAAGAGATTAAGAGCTTAAATTTGGGGATTATATTAAGAATACTACTGTTGAGGAATGCATTTATTTTCATTATGATATTTCAAAATTTAAAGCCCTTTGTTTTTTTTTCTCGGAAACTGGAAGGAATTAAAACTTTAAAATATATGCATATTCTAGATATTATTGCCTAATATATTTTGCCAAAATTTTAATTTTTTAAAAAAATTACTTTTTGAGATATCCTTGTCCGAAAATTATAAGGGGTGCTGTAATCACCTTAAAATACCTGCAAATAAATTTAAGCGCCAAAAGCTGAGACTAGGCGAACTTTTGACATAAATATTGTTTCGGGTGGTGATTGGATTATTTAAATTTCATTGATTTTTAATTAACAAGTTATAAGTAAATAATGAGTTTTTAATATCCTGTTAAATAAGAGGGCCATATATTAACCTAATTTATCTTATAAGACCGTAATTAGAGGATTATCTTACTGTCGCGTATTCGCTCCGTGCGCGACAGCAGCGCCAATTTGTTTTGGTATTGACAAATACAATTTTTAATAGAATTCGTAAATAAAAAGTATATATGTTAGTTTTAATAAAAGTATATGGATTTATAAAACAATTAAAACATTAATTTATTATTATTATATATTTTTCACGCTTAGATTGAAGAAAATAATGTATAATCATTAAAAATCAATAATAAAATATAGGCAGGCAACAGTATTTACTGGAAAATGTATGAGAAGTTGCCTAAGTCTAATAAGTTGTCATTGAAGAAACCATTTATAATAGCGTGAAGTTAAAATGTATAAAAAGGATCGCTACTTATATTTTCATTTTTGTTCTAAAGAAAACATAGAATGAATGATTAAAACTGGTTTCCGATCAGTAAGTCACAAAATCGCATACCAGCCAAATATTATAATCAACGGCAGAAATCTTGAAATCTAGTCCTTGCTGAATGAACATTTAAGAATAAAGGGATATTAAAGAACATCGTAAAATGATAATTTATTGTTTATTTAAAAACTTTCTAGTTTCTGATGTCTACTATTTCCAGCATTACTGTTATTATCACAAAAATAAAGGTAATTTTTCTTCTTATTGTACACCTATCCATTTATTTCTTTGATTTAATTTCCACTTTGTTAGTGAAATTTGTTATATAAGTTTCACTGTTTTTTTTTTTGTTAGTATTTGTACAATTTTCAACACAGCAACTCCGGTTGCTTATTGTGTTGTTTTTACCTACTTTTTTGAAAAAAGTAAAATGTATACGTGTATTTGATATGCCAAAATTACAAAATATCCCCCTAAAATGCACGAATTATCCGCAGCTAGCGCTAGTATCGCTTTTGCTTCCCTTTCCATGACTTCGCACGGAGCGAATAAGTAAATAATGAGTTTTTAATATCCTGTTAAATAAGAGGGCCATATATTAACATAATTTATCTTATAAGACCGTAATTAGAGGATTATCTTACTGTCGCGTATGATTAGCTTTATAAACCTTGATCAGCTACAAAACTACAAATAGCTAATACATTTTTAAATATCTGAAATGTGCAACACTCATGAGTAATGTAGATTACATTCTTTGTTAAATGTTTCCTACAATTTTATCAAAAACTATGTAGTTTTAAATTTTTTTTTAATAACGAATTCTGGAAAAAGCTTCTCGCGTATATGGATAATAAAATATTTATTACTCTAGCAAATTGAGAGACTAGCTTGGCTTACGCAATATTAAAATTGTTTTTTCTTTTTTTTTTAGTGTCGGCAAGAGTACAAAAATGCATACGTCTCATACTTATCGTCTCCATCTACAGAAAGTTTGAGTGCTTATTTTAATACACACAACGCTTATATCCAGCAGCTGCATGCAACGAATGGGATGATGGAAGAATTTGGAAAAAACACATTGCCGTCTTTATTACAGGTTAGAAAATTAAAAATATATTAACCTTCCATTAGGCGCGTCGGTATACATAATACCGTTGGCTACGCTATATTGCATATATAATATTTTTTAATGAAAATAGATATCAATAGATGGTTGTTATTTATAAAGAAATATCATATGCATAAAAATAAAATTATTTTGAGTTGATTTCCGCGATTTCTAACAAATCTTAACCCGCAAAATACATATGTTAGAAGACGAAACGAAATAACCCACAGTATTGTTCTTTAACGTTACTGTGTATGCCATGTAACTAATTAGCTGATAAATAATCTAACAACAAAACAAGTTATAAAAGTAATTTTAAAAAATATATGATAATTTTTCAATAACAAATAGAGGAAGGATGTTGGAATGTGCATTAAATGTCTAGACAGGTTCATTAACTGGGGTCATCAGCCAAATACCGGTTTGCACATTTTGCACATACATGGGGCTTGCACATTTTGCGCATACATATCCTATCTACTTAACTGTCATTTATCTTTTAACCTATTGGTTACATATTTTTCTGAAAAGACTATATTCCTTTTTAGAATAGGTTTTATATTATTTTTTGCTTCTACTGTAAAATATACCAATTGTAGGTTACGAGGTGCCAGAATTAAATTATCTATATCTTTTGGGCTTTTCTTCACCCTTTCATACGTACCTCCGCTCCCCCCCCCCGAGGTATTCTGGTAGACGCCACCCTCTCAGGCTTCCTTTCTGCTTTCCTTTCTCTTGGGGTTTGCATGGCTGCACTGAAGCATAGGTGGCTTACTGTACCACCAGTTGGATAGTTCTTCCCATTCATCATACATTTATTAATCATCATTATTCATTATTATTCATCATTATTCATCATTATTCATCATTATTCATCATTATTCATCATTATTCATCATTATTCATCATTATTCATCATTATTCATCATTATTCATCATTATTCATCATTATTCATCATTATTCATCATTATTCATCATTATTCATCATTATTCATCATTATTCATCATTATTCATCATTATTCATCATTATTCATCAATATTCATCATTATTCATCATTATTCATCATTATTCATCATTATTCATCATTATTCATCATTATTCATCATTATTCATCATTATTCATCATTATTCATCATTATTCATCATTATTCATCATTATTCATCATTATTCATCATTATTCATCATTATTTATTATTATTCATCATTATTCATCATTATTCATCATTATTCATCATTATTCATCATTATTCATCATTATTCATCATTATTCATCATTATTCATCATTATTCATCATTATTCATCATTATTCATCATTATTCATCATTATTCATCATTATTCATCATTATTCATCATTATTCATCATTATTCATCATTATTCATCATTATTTATCATTATTCATCATTATTCATCATTATTCATCATTATTCATCATTATTCATCATTATTCATCATTATTCATCATTATTTATCATTATTTATCATTATTCATCATTATTCATCATTATTCATCATTATTCATCATTATTCATCATTATTCATCATTATTCATCATTATTCATCATTATTCATCATTATTCATCATTATTCATCATTATTCATCATTATTCATCATTATTCATCATTATTCATCATTATTCATCATTATTCATCATTATTCATCATTATTCATCATTATTCATCATTATTCATCATTATTCATCATTATTCATCATTATTCATCATTATTCATCATTATTTATCATTATTCATCATTATTCATCATTATTCATCATTATTCATCATTATTCATCATTATTCATCATTATTCATCATTATTTATCATTATTTATCATTATTCATCATTATTCATCATTATTCATCATTATTCATCATTATTCATCATTATTCATCATTATTCATCATTATTCATCATTATTCATCATTATTCATCATTATTCATCATTATTCATCATTATTCATCATTATTCATCATTATTCATCATTATTCATCATTATTCATCATTATTCATCATTATTCATCATTATTCATCATTATTCATCATTATTCATCATTATTCATCATTATTCATCATTATTCATCATTATTCATCATTATTCATCATTATTCATCATTATTCATCATTATTCATCATTATTCATCATTATTCATCATTATTCATCATTATTCATCATTATTCATCATTATTCATCATTATTCATCATTATTCATCATTATTCATCATTATTCATCATTATTCATCATTATTCATCATTATTCATCATTATTCATCATTATTCATCATTATTCATCATTATTCATCATTATTCATCATTATTCATCATTATTCATCATTATTTATTATTATTCATCATTATTCATCATTATTCATCATTATTCATCATTATTCATCATTATTCATCATTATTCATCATTATTCATCATTATTCATCATTATTCATCATTATTCATCATTATTCATCATTATTCATCATTATTCATCATTATTCATCATTATTCATCATTATTCATCATTATTCATCATTATTCATCATTATTCATCATTATTCATCATTATTCATCATTATTCATCATTATTCATCATTATTCATCATTATTCATCATTATTCATCATTATTCATCATTATTCATCATTATTCATCATTATTCATCATTATTCATCATTATTCATCATTATTCATCATTATTCATCATTATTCATCATTATTCATCATTATTCATCATTATTCATCATTATTCATCATTATTCATCATTATTCATCATTATTCATCATTATTCATCATTATTCATCATTATTCATCATTATTCATCATTATTCATCATTATTCATCATTATTCATCATTATTCATCATTATTCATCATTATTCATCATTATTCATCATTATTCATCATTATTCATCATTATTCATCATTATTCATCATTATTCATCATTATTTATCATTATTTATCATTATTCATCATTATTCATCATTATTCATCATTATTCATCATTATTCATCATTATTCATCATTATTCATCATTATTCATCATTATTCATCATTATTCATCATTATTCATCATTATTCATCATTATTCATCATTATTCATCATTATTCATCATTATTCATCATTATTCATCATTATTTATCATCATTCAAAGAACGTCCTTGATGGTTGACCGCTAGTTGGTTTAGTGGTTACCCATAATAGATATTTAATAATAATAATAATCCTTTACAAAAATATTCAGTGGTTTGTTAGTTACTTTTCTAAACTAGCTGCAGATACTTTAAAGTTCATTCTAACATTTTTGTGAATTTAACTACCGTATATTAATAGTGTTATTATTTTTATCTTATTTATCTAATTTCTATATTCATTTAATTAATGCATGAAACATTGGTTTATCTCTTTTGTCTACTGATGTATTAAGATCCTGATTTTGTTAATACTAAGTTTAAATATTTGCTGTAGTGAAACAGACAAGTAATTAAGATTCCTCTGATCTTAAAGCTTAATGTGTAACTAACGTTATGTATTATCGATCATTTCCGGATATTCTGAACTATTAAATATCAATTATAAACTACTAGGCCAGGAAATAGAGTGAATTTACTTGTAAGAATTTATAATAGAGCTAAAAATTGATATGTTAGTCCAATTCAAAGTCTTTGTTGGGTTTATTTTCTCTTGAGGTTATTGTAATGAGTAATGGACTGTAATTTTAATGATTATATTTACTTTCAAAAACAATGAATACTAAACACTAGGTACTACTACATAAAAATAACAGATAAAGGATTGCGTTGAAAAAACAGTCAACATAGCTTGCTCGACTAACTCAGCTAACGGCTACATTGCGAATGCCGATGCCAAATGGCAGAGAGAGACGAGAGATACGTTTTCTAATGTGGTAGTTGGTAGTTCGTATGGATCTTTATTCCAAATGCTCGCGGGCTAGCTAGCTTGCATTTTTTTAAAAATGCTGCTCAAAAGGGTAGTCTGAAATTAAAAAAAAAATATTCATTCTTAATCTAGCTCTGCGAAAATACTACCCTAGGTATTTACAGTTTACCTTCTAGTGTGTCTTGATGAAAGGCTTGTCTTGTCGTTAAAGGCCACGCTCTTTTGTTTTACATTGTTTTCATTTTTTTATGAAAGTTACGAATAAACACACGTTTCATTTTTTATTGAGTTATTTTTGTAATTTTTTATTAAAATTTGCATTAACTAAATTAATTGTTAAAGATATATAATAATGTAAATATTTCTGTCTCGGTTGTGTGACGTAAAATAAACAATTGCATACAACATTGTCAGTAAACGTTTCTGTACCATTATTGTCATTATTATTAAAAATAATAATCCATACTCTTATCACCACATAATAAACCATTTGGACTAATCCATTTTCTTTCAGTATTATCAATTTATTTCACTTTCTCAATGATCTACTCGATTACGTTTTAATAATGTTTATTTCCTCTTACCTCTCTAATTATATCATTCAAACTACTTCAGACGTTAAGCGAGAATATTGCCACGCGAAATTTCTGCCTAACCCATTAGAGAATTTTCATCCCTGAAGGCTAAACTTTCATATTATATGACCCTTTCCGTGAAGAGCTACGACGATGTTAATTAGTGAAGTCACTTCGAAGGCTTTGAGGTTTTGAGGTTAGCTTTCGGATTATAGCACCAGCAAAATTGTCGCAAAATTTTATTATACTGTATAATCTAAATATGAGGTTATTGTGTTTCTGAGTATGGGATAAATGTAATTTACGATGGCTGATCGATAAGTATGTTTAAAAATCATTATGGTATTAGAAATAGAAATAATATTCTCAGTAATACATATATAAACATGTTTTCCTACCACCACATACGAAAATGATAGTTTGCACACTTATTTGTTCTTAAGAAAGTAGCTTATATCACACGCGTACTGAAATATACAGGGTGTCTGTAAAAGGTCTTTACAAAAACCTACCACATAT